TAACTTACCTTCCAGAAAGTTTCGTGTTTCTGTTTTAATACTTAGATTTTTAATCCACTTGGATTTTAGTTTAGTGCATGGTGAAAGACAGGGGTCTAGTTTTAATCTGTGGCAGGTTGAAATCCAGTTTTTCCAATACCATTTATTAAAGAGGCTCTCTTTCCTCCAGTGAGGATGGTTGGCTCCTTTGTCAAAGATGAGGTAGCTGAGTATGGACTCTGGATCTTATTTGCATGAATGTCTTTTGTAGTGGTTCTCAAATTTGTTAAGAGTACCATATTTCTGGCACCACATTTTTTGCCCTTCTAGGCAACCCGACTCTCACATAAGAACTGTAGTACCAGAGCCCGGGATTTAGTTCAGTGGTTCCACCACCTGCCCCGAAAGTGCAACATCCTGAGTTCAATCCCTGGTATCTAAATAAATAAATCATTGGGTTTTTAAAAAAAAAAAAAAAAAAGAACTGTAGTACCATCGTTCTGTACAAAGAATTTAATAGGCAGTATTTCATTTAACACGTAAAATCCCAGTAAGGGAAGGCCTAGACATCTCCATCTTCCAGGTCAAATAAGTGAGCCTTAGCGGAATGAGAAACTTGCTCAGGTCTGTGCAGTTAGTGAAGACACTGACGTGCAGAGTGTCCGTGTCTCAGTCAGCCTCCTGTGGCAGACTGAAATCCGAAGCAAGGGTCCTGTCTTCCAGCCCCGCAGCTCTTGCACGATGCTGACTTCAGCAGGTGTCTGATAAGGGTGGTCTCGGGACTCCATCCCGACTCCCTGCGTGACTGACGACCGGGTGCAGGAGCTGGTGGTGACGAGCAGGGGAGGAGAGCAGGCTGTCCTGCGCCGTGGAGCAGGACGCAGGACGCAGGACCCAGGACCTGGCCATAGGCCACGCCTGGAAAGAGAGCACTTTTACTGCCGACAGAGAAGCCCTAGTGGTTCAGCCCTGTGGACTGCAGAGCCGGGTGGCCGTGCACGTAAACCTTCATGGTCAGGATCACATTTGTGTAGATGACTTGAACTTGCCTTCCGTCCCTTTATCTTTATAGATTGCCCAGTCTTGGAGCAAGTTTAATCCTGAAACCAACGGCTCCCTGTTTGAGCCGTCACCCCTGGACCCCGAGAGCGGAGTGACTGCCGCTTGTGCCGAGTTCCAGGAGTGGGCCGTCATCCTGCCATGGCTGAGGGGAGCCTGTGTGTGCTGCGGCTGCCTTCCCAGTCTGCCCTCCCAGCAGCACAGACCAGAGTCTGCTGAGCCTCCAGTAACCCAGCCCCATCCACGGGCAAGCCTGTCAGGAGGGCTCCTGGGGGGCCTCTGCCCGGTCCTCTTGTGGGAGGCTCTGCGCAGGACTGTGCAGGGTTAGGGTTAGGGTTTAGGCTGTCTCTACCTGTATTTAATGTACTTGTCCTAAGTGCTTTCATTTCTTCCTTTGAGTCCCTAATTCTATTAATTGCCAGTGTGTCTTCTTTTTCGCTCATTGCCTGATGGTGCTCATCTTAATATTAAGATGGCTTATAAACAATGAGAAACTAGAGACATTTACAGCTAAGTGGACACACATTGAGGCCACACTCTTAAGTGAAACACATAGGACCCACGTGTGTAAAAGCCGAATGGTTCCTCCGGTGTGAGAAACAATGTGTACATAGGAGTCAAATATACAACTGATAATGTAAAACAGGAAGAAAAGGTCTAAAGGGGTAGGGAAGTGGAAGGGACAGGGAAAAGGAAAGAAGAGAAAGGAATAAATATGAGAAAAGGAATAAATAGGGAGGGGTGGAAGGGAGGGCAGGGGAATGGGGAAAAAATAAGAACCAAGACAGGTTGTATAAAGGTGCAAACTCCCAGTGATGGATGTCAGCATATTGCACACCTAAAATGAGCCAAGGACGTAATGGAGAAAAAACATCATGAAGACGGCTTGACATCGAGGGCTGTGGTCCCTGCTCCTCTCTGAGATTCACGGGCAGTCCTGAAGTCAGTGGAGGTTCCAGGTTGTCTCTAGGTCAGCAGCCAAAATGATAGTACTTGGGGTCAAGTTTACGCTGAGAGGAGGGCAGAGCTCGGGCACACTGCAGACCCACGCAGCGGGCTGCTCCCCTGGTGGTCCCTGTGTCCTCAGAGATGAGCTGCTTCTCAAGCAGAAGCTCCTGCATGCACAGCCAGGAACGGACCCCCTGAGGAATCTTCCACAGTGTGCGATGTCAGCCTTTTTGCAGGTCCTGTGCTCTGAGTGGGGCAGCTGGTTTCCCACCTGCTGGTCCCATTTCCTGGCGCAGGTGGCACCCGAGATGCTGCTCCCCGCTCCCCGGGGCCCACACTTGGTGTCGGGATGCTGGGTTCTTGCGTAGGGCTCAAGCGGGTCTGTGCTAGGTGCCTCCGTCGTATTGTGACCCAGGGACCTGCCGTCTCTTCTTCCTGGCTGGATGCTCCCGTCCTAGTGGCTCCCCAAGGCCTCTGTGACCGGGCAGGGACAGAGATATCTCTCAAGGTGGTGCTGTGCATTTGCCAAGAGCTGGAGGGCAGAGAACCACCTGGCCCATGTGTTCCAATTAGGGGTGTTTATGGGGTTGGACCTAGATTCAGTGCACTGGGTTGCTCAGCAGTACGTCGGAGGAGATAAAGGGGAAAATGGACCCCAGTGAAGCCTCTCATCTGGCCGGAACCTTCTGAATGTCAGAACTTGGGTGCTGAGCGTCTTCCCTGCTCACTGACAGGAGGCGTGTGGACTCCTCCAGCCGAGAGTCGCGTCCCGTGGGAGGGCGCCTGGACTGGGAACCCCGGACCCTGGAGTGGTTTGTCACAAGCACGCCCCGCACGCACAGCTGCACTTTAGGTGAGGTGGTGCTGTCCACGCTCTTCTGTGGCACCTTATGAAAGGCAGAAGCTGTACCTTACAGGGCTTTCTGTGGCAGAAGCACAGGGTGTGTGTAAGTTACAGGAATTTTTCTTATCGTTTTCTTTCAAAACAAGTGGAAATTGTGTATTTTATGACATCTTTTTAATTCATTTTAATGTTAAATATTAGAATATATTTATCAGTTTCTAAAATATTTATACAGAAGCTTGCCAGGTGGGGTACCTGCCTGTAATCCTAGCACTAGGAAGGGTGAGGCAAGATGATCCCTGTGAGTTCCAGGCCAGCCTGTGCTACGTAATTTTGGGGGTTTTTTGTTTGTTTTTGTTTTGTTTTGTTTTTGATACCAGGGATCGAACTCAGGACCTTGTGCTTGTGCAGGCAGCTGCGCCACTGAGCTAAATCCCTGGCCTTACATGGTGAGTTCAAGGCCAGCTTGAACTGCATAGTGAGACCCTGTCTCAAAAAATAAAATGAAATATTTATACAGAATCTTAAATTGTTTTGGAGAATTTCATAAACCACACACTTTATTTTTTAATGTAATTTTTATCCTTTAATTTCAAGTCCTTTTCTACACTGAATAGATGTAATAAGGGTGATTTTTCCTTACAAAGTATTGAATTTACTTCTGCTTTTTTTTTTTTTTTTTTTTTTTTTTGTACTGGGAGTCAAATTCAGGATCTTGTGCTTGCCAGGTAGGCGCCGTGCCACTGAGCTACATCCCTGGCTTTTATGTTACTTAGAAAAGTATAGTAGAAAAATGCAGTATTTCTGAATAATATTTACTTTTGTTCTAAGATGGTACTTTGTAATTATATGTCATCACAGTTATCCTTTAGTTTGACAGTGGGGATTGAACTCTGCACCCTGTGCTTGCGAGGCAGGCGGCGGAACCACTGAGCTAAATCCCTGGCCCCCACAGTTATCTTTATTTTTTGTGTTTTTGGGTTTTCTTTTTGAGACAGGTGTCACTAAGTAGTCCCGGCTGGCTTTAAACTCAGCGATCCTCCTGCCTTGCCTCCTCAGTACTTTATATTATTAAACTTCAATATTTTTTGAAGTACATTACTTAAAAGTATAACCGTTTGGGATGGGGATTTGGCTCAGTGGTTCTGCTGCCTGCCTCGAAAGTGCAAGGTCCCAAGTTCAATCTCCGGTAACCTCCAAAAAAATTGTAACAGTTCACAGAATTTCCTCAGAGCGCTGAAAAAATGCTGGAGTTAGACTTTCCTTGACTTCAGAATGTAGTCTGACCCCAAGGGCACCGTGAGAAGTAACACTTCAGTGGTGGGTGCGTGGTCACATAAATTCTTAGTGGAGAATATCAGTTGTTTTCCTTACCTTCGGAAGGGAAGCAGCCGGTCACTGCCCTCAAATGGGACGGCCTAGCAGGAGGGCCAGCAAGAAGTCTCCGTGATGGGGCCACCCAGGGCTTACACAGTCAGGGCCTGGTCACCTGGCGGGAGGGAGGAGGCGCTGGTCCTGTCGCCCTCGTCTCCTCTTGGGCACAGTCCCAGTGCAGAGTCGCTCCAAGGTGAGGACGGAGTCCTGAGCAACTAGCGCGGAAAGGAGAATGTCAGTTACTTAGAACTTCCAGGTGGTGAGAAGGCTGTTTCAGCTGGCGCACACCTGTCATCCCAGGACTGCAGGAGGCTGAGCAGGAGGACAGCAAGAGCAAGCCCAGCCTGGGCGACTGCAACTCAGCGAGTCCCTGCCTCAAAATAGAAAAGGGTTAGGGACATGGCCCAGGGCAAAGGCCTGGGTTCAGTGCCCTGTACCACCTGGCAACACAACACACACACACACACACACACACACACACACAGTTTTTTAACCCAGAATCTAGACAGGCTCTGTCCAGTATGTTACTCTCACCCAGACCGCTGGCCCTGATGATTACCTGCCTGGGCGACTGCAACTCAGCGAGTCCCTGCCTCAAAATAGAAAAGGGTTAGGGACATGGCCCAGGGCAAAGGCCTGGGTTCAGTGCCCTGTACCACCTGGCAACACAACACACACACACACACACACACACACACACACAGTTTTTTAACCCAGAATCTAGACAGGCTCTGTCCAGTATGTTACTCTCACCCAGACCGCTGGCCCTGATGATTACCTGCTGGTTTCTTTGTAGACCCCAGAAGAAAATACCATGTGAGGCTGCTGGCTTACAGTAACATCGAAGACGGCTACCAGGCTGACCAGACAGTCAGCACGCCAGGATGTGTGTGTGAGTGCCTGTGCCCTCCTGCTGTCCCCAGAAGCCAGGGTGGTTCAGTTTCTCCCTGCTGCCTTCCAGTGTCTTGAACTAGAAGGTGCTAGAAAGAAGTGCATGAGGTTTCTAAAGTATAAGTGCCTGCTTTAATTTTGCAAGCACAAGACCATTAGAATCTTTACTGGAAAACGCTGAGTTTCCCTTGTCTGCTTGTACCGTGAGGCCCGTTGTTTCTCTCCAACTGCTCGCCTGTGTTGTGGCTGCTAAAGGGGGTGGTGTTCTGCTCCTGAGTCTAGATGGTGTCTGCTAGGAGTCGGGCCTCTGAGTCTCTCGTGTGTATAGTGTGTTGTGCGCTGATGGCATTCGCCTCCTCAACCCCCTCTTGGGAGGATGAGAAATTTCCACCCCACTGTACATCTCTGGTGGAAGAAAGACCTAAAACCAGCATGGGGGGTCTCACCACCTGGCTTCTTCACACACTAGACGTCGTGCCACGCATGTGAAATGCTGTTCCTTTCTCCACAGCCGTGCGTGATCGCATGGTCCCTCCACCGCCGCCGCCCCACCATCTCTATGCGAACGCCAACAGCTCCTCTTCCATCTTCCTGCATTGGAGGAGGCCCGCGTTCACAGCCGCACAGACCATCAACTACACGGTCCGCTGCAACCCCGTGGGCCTGCAGAATGCCTCGCTGGTGCTGTACCTGCAGACGTACGTACCCTGCCCGCACTCCTACACGGGCTGGCCGCTGTCTCAGCTCGGTGTTCAGGGTTGGGGTTACTTTCAGAGGCTGGGAGTTTTGCCTCTAATAATTTTACCATATTCAGTTCTCAAAACTGCACTTTTTCACATTAATGTGTGTGTGATTTTTAAATTTTTCTCAGCCGCACGCAGTAAGATTAGGCAAGGAGATATTTCCAGTAGCTGACCTTAGCGTGTTTAAAGAAACAAACAAAAGACCATTTTCTTGCTGGCCTCAGAAAACAGTCTGCTGGCCATTCTTGTTTTCTAGGCCACAATTACAAAAGCATCCGTCAGAATGCCTTGGAAAATGACGCTGCTCCAGCCTTTCTCCCGGCCCCTGCCGGCTCCCTCTCAGAGAGAGCTTGCAGTCTTACTTCTGCAGGATGGCGCTGTAGTGCTTGGTACACGGGGCTTCTCTTGTCAGCGGAAAGTTGTCTTTGAAGGAAAGGAGCAGCTGAAGACCACAGCAGGTCACCCTGCTCATTGGCTGAGACGCTGGCGCTCCTTTAACAGCTCTGTTACCTTGGCAGATCGGAAACTCACATGCTGGTCCAGGGTCTGGAGCCGAGCACCCGGTATGAGTTTGCTGTCCGGCTGCACGTGGGCCAGCTGTCCAGCCCCTGGAGCCCCGTGGTCCACCACACCACACTTGCGGAAGGTGAGCAGAGTGGCTCTTCCCAGGGCCTCAGGAAGTGCTTCAGAGGCACGGCACGTTGGGGATAGCGCTGTGTCCCCTCCAGTTGACGTTCTTAGCTTTTGAAATGTTTTACCTTTTTTCCTTCTAAAAAATCTGTACAAGCAAACGGGCTCCGGTTTGCTGTCCCTTTGAGGGAGGCCTCGCATATCCCTTCAGCCAGCTGTGCCACTCTAGGCCACACCCACAAAGCTGAAAATGGAAGCCACCAGGGGCCACGTTGCGGAGTGCAGGGTGCAGGGTGCTGGCACCAGGCTGCCGCTCACCATACTCCGGCATGAAGCTCAGCGCAGCGAGGGTGATGCTTCCCCGGGGCCAGGCATGGAGGGAGCGCGGGGCTTTCTCACTGTGGCTGCGGCAGGGCCCGACAGGAGATCCTAGTGCCACCAGCCGCCCACCACACGTGCCACGAGTCCACTGAATCTCAGATCCTGACCTCTTCGGGGATACAGGGGCCCAGTTTCACTTTGCTCTGTAAACTCGCCAGCTCTCCACTGAGGGAGAACTAGATGCTCTGGTCTCAGAAGCACCTTCTTCAGAGGCCTCCTAGGTGGGCCTTGCTTTTTAATAACTGCAGCCTAGATTCAGGACTAAGGGCACAGAAACTACATCTGATGGGCAGATTCTGGGTGGAGCTGTCAACTTTCTGGTTAGCAGCTTAGCCAAAGGTTCAGGGCTCCTAAAAATGCTGTCCCTTGGGCTTAGTTCTTCCCTGTCTAGGAACCCTCCGCCTCCCTCCCTCCCCAGCTGCTCCTTCCTTTCTTTGTATTTATTTTTGAGACAGGGCCTTGCTTTGTGGACTGACCTACACTGACCTGGGCTCCTGGATTCAAGCGATTCTCCCACCTTAGCCTCTCAAACAGTGAGACTATGGGCGTGCACCACCACGCTGGCCCTTTGTTGTTGTGTTTTAATCTTTTCAGTTAAGTGTGGAGTGACGTACGCTTTAAAAGAAGCAGAAATGATTCTTTAGTATTATCACTCATGATCCTGAAGATCTCAAAGTGGTGATGTTTCCCTTTATTGTGGCTTTCTCACACTTTTCTACACTTGCCAGTCTGCCACAGGGAGTTACGTGTTTCTGCACCACTTACCCTAGTGACCCCCTATGTTTCACATGTGTGCACAGCGCCAGCAGGCCCCCCGGTGGGACTGAAAGTGACGCTGATCGAGGACGACACTGCCCTGGTTTCTTGGAAACCCCCCGGTGGCCCCGAGACAGTCGTCACGCGCTACACGATCCTGTATGCACCCAGGAAGGCCTGGATTGCGGGCGAGTGGCAGGTCCTTCACCGAGAAGGTAAAGAAATCACAGAAGAGTAAGGCAGTTACTCGACACAAAGTGCGGTGGTACAGGGAAGTGAAGGCAGAGAGGGACCCAGAGTTCATTTTGAATGTATATTTTCATGTATGAAGTACTGAATTATTAAAGATTTTGGCTTTATTCAAAGAGCATTGGGAAGCCACTGACTGATTTAGCACAAGTCGTTCTTCCTGTTGTGCATGGAAGGGGTTTGCTGGAGAGGAGAAGGATGGAGTGGCACAGTGGTTCGGAGAGGCTCGGCGCAGGCGGGGAGGGAGGGAGGAGATGCGGGCAGGAAGTGAGGCTGCACACAGACAGCAGGCACTGTGGTGTCAGGGTCCTGACTGGTGGGCGCATCTGGGAGCCGCGGCACATGCACTCCACTGCCGAGTGGAGAAGAGGTCAGTCTCCAGACTCAGCATTCTTACTGCATCTTTTATCATTTCATCCTTAATGATTATGGAATCTTAAATCTTTCATTTGGACAAGTTCCATATAGCAGATTTAGGTGATCTGTTGCTTAAATAATACAACTTTATATTTTAGTACTTCCTTAATTCAGATGTATATGCTGGGGAAAGAACTGTTTGCCAAACAAATAAATCTCAAGGTTTTCAAAGTGGAAATGTGCCGGCCTGAGCTACTTAGGGAGTTCAAGGCCAGCCTGAATAACACAGCGAGACCCTGTCTCGAAAAAAGCTGTTCATGCAGTTGTAAAATAAGAAAATGACAACATTAGCTGGAGGGTTTTTTTGTTTGTTTGCTTGTTTGGTGCTGGGGATCGAACTCAGGACCTTGTGCTTGCCAGCCAGGCGCAGCACCACTGAGCTACCTCCCCGGCCTGAGCTGGAGTTTTGATAGTTGTCTACTTCTATTTTTTATTGTCAGAAGTAATGATCTCCTAACCACCGAGGAGACCTGAAAACAGTGAGCACCTGTGCGCCGGTGCTCCTTTCAGCTTTCTGCTGCGGCCTCACAAACCCCTCTGGAGCAGGAGCAGCAGCTTGATTTTGTTCCCACTCCAGCTTTGTGCTGCATCAGCAGGGCGGCTCCTGCACTCTCCCCATCCTGTGGACTTCGTGGCAGTTTTGACAGTGTCGGGGAGTCTAGAAACAGCAGAGGAGGGGTTCAGAGTTGGGAGGGGGAAGGCCAGTCCGAGCCGCGCCTGCTAACCTCAAGATGTGGTCAGGACCTCATCCTGCCCCGCGCCCAGGCTAACCAGCCTGTAAGGGGGAGCCCTAGGATTTTACAGCAGGTCATTCAACTGAAGTTACTTCCGGAATGGGTGATTGACACAGTGCTTCAAATAACAGGGCTGCTGAAATGAGCTGTCCTAAGTGTTAATGAGCAATTTTGATTGTGTGAGCACACATCTTTGAGACTCCCTCATTTGTATCTGCCTAAAAGGAAACAAGATTTTGTTTGCCTCTTTTTTTATCAAAGGCATTTACTGATGAATTTTGGAAAGAACTCAGAAAGCATTTTCCTCAGTGGTACCTAGTGGGGAGGTAGTGGGCATCTGGAGTCTGCACATCGGGGCTGTGCTGATGTCCAGTGCAGGCCGTCGCAGCGGCGGGCAGCGCGCGGCTGGCCAGTGAAGGGCTCCTGTCGGTCCTTTGTTGGTTACAGCTAACCCTGATGGCACAGCACAGGTAAACAATGCAAGTGAAAACCAGTTGAGCATGTTTTGAAAGGAGTTGACTTATCCACATTTAATCAAAAAGCAAAGAATACAGCATGATGTTTAAAGAAAAAAGAAAAGGTAAACTTTTATATCTAAATATAGCATCTTTTAGAGAGGCAGTAGTATCGAATGTCAATTTCTCAGTCGTGTAATTTGATAATCTTACACATATTGTTTGTGTACATATTTAATTCATATATTTAGCACCAAATGAAGCAAAGTATTTTTAATGAATCAGTATTCTTTTAAGATATCTGTGACTAAAATGGTGCATTGTAGAATGGTTGAGCAGAAATGTGACATGATATTTTACTTGGATCTGAAATTACAGCCTTTGCCTTCTGTGCAGTAAATCAGCACAGTTTACTTAATTATTTTCAAATCTAAAAGTCGCTGAAGGAAATTATCCTGTATGTCAGCAATTTTTTAACTATTCTTTTCGAGTTTCCTGGGATGATAAAGATGTTCTTCCTTCAAAACTTCTATGATTATAAATAAGTTTGAGAATCTCTACCCATACTTCCTCCTATCAGAGAGGAGCAGGGAGCAGAGTGCCCCAGGAACTCTTCCTCCAGGGGTTTATACCCAGAAATGGCTGCATCTCAGCCAAGGTGAGGCTTCTGGGGCTACAAGCTGACAAGTTTGACAGGGAAGTGAGCCTGAAGGAACTTAGGGCATAGCAAGCATACCTTTACAGCACCACTAACTGTAACGTTTCTAAAATTAGCAGATCAAAGGCACTCTTCAGAGGGTATGAACAGAGGCTTGGAGACACTGGTTCTGTACCTCCTTGTTTTTACCATGTTTCTGGGCAAGAAATTCTCACCCATCAGTGCCGCCTTAGTCTGTTGCCTCAGAACCCCGGCCTTGGCCATGGTGCCCTCTGCTGAGTCCCCCAACTCCGTCTGTGACTTGGCCCTTCCTGGCTCCCTGTCCATCTACAGAACTCTGTCAGAACCTCGCACTCCTCTCCCAGTGGGCGGCCTCACTGAGAAATCCTCTCAGCTTCCCACAGGGCCGTCTCATCCTCAGCTGTCCCTGACAGAAACTGATTGTCCAGGTTCCTGCTGGGAGCCTCTGTAGGAAAATGATATGTGAGCCTTAGAAAGCAGAGCTAAGCTCACACATGCCAGTGCAGAGGGCTCCAAGTTCATCCTTCCCAGGTCTTTTACTACCTCCGTGTCTCATAAAGCAAGAGGACAGAGAGAGAGGTGTGAGGCTGAGTCCATGGTGGCTCTCCAGCCCAGATCCCTGGCCACACGTGCACAGCGCACATGGGTCAGGGACCCAGGGCATAGGCCCCCGTCCCTGTGCTCATGACTGAGAAGAGCAGGTCTGTCACAAGGAGCTCATAGACACATGTGCGTTCTTGTGCATTTACTAAGAATCGTCTTGTACTGAGCATTCAGTAGCCACCCTCAGGTGTGCAAATAGGAGAAAAATGCTGTGTCCACCAGAGGGGGACAGGGGAGTACGGTGAGAGAAGGCTGCTTTTACTGAGTACGCGAGCACTCCGCCAGACACTGGCAGTGGCAGTTTATTGTCCTCCTGATGACGGTAACAGCTGTGAGCCATCATCCCGGGGAAGAAGGCACAGTCAGCCGTGTGCCCCACGTCACAGGTGCTCAGCCGGACGCCCTCCGAGGCATGGTGCTTGTGGGTGCATCCCGGAGACTGCTGCGCTGTCTTGCCCGGCAAAGCCCAAGTCTAGCTGAAGACTCACGTGCAGAAAGTCGGCAGATGCCTGAGTACACTGCTAAGACTGGGATGCTGCACTTAGGGTGCAGGGGCTCTCAGACACCTGGAGGACTTGGGAAATGCCTTGCATGTGCTCAGCTGACCTGGAATGTTGGTTTCCGTCTTGTCTACATGAAGAAGCTGTGGACGAAAGGAAAGTGCACACACAGGCACACACTGCTGGCCCTCTTACAAATTTAATGAAGAGACTTCAGCTCCTGGTAGTAGCAGATTTTCCAAGCAATTTTTAAAATCATATATTCTATGATAAAATAGAAACTTTAATCTCTATTAGCGAAGAAATTGGAATGACCCTCCTTCTAGCGAGTTGTAATGTGTCACATGCATTTTTGTTTTCGGTGCATCTGCCCAGAGCCTGGTGACACTAGGTAGGGAGAAGCTTCCTGGTTCTGACTGGGGCCAGTTTGTTTGTCTCAGTTGTTACCCAAGTGGCTCATACTCTTCAGCCAAGTTGATACCAGAGAACATGAAAACAAGTTGCATCTGGCTCCTGGAGTTGCACTAGCGACTCTTATCCTGGCCTCCGTTCCAAGGTCACCCACATGTCCTTGCATAGTGAGAAACAGGCCAGTGAGATGTACCCCCAACCTCCGTGTGGGCCACAGGGCAGGGCTGGGCTGGTTCTGGCTGAGTTGCTGGACATCAGGATTAATTCCTAGGGTTCGACCACAGAAGGAGAGCAGAGAGCAGCAGGCTGCATGCAGGAGTCCTCTGCAGGCCGCCCTCAGATGCTGGATACATCGCATGTTTCAGAGCAGGTGTGAGGCAGGTGGCTCATGGTCCTTCCGTTGGTTAATCTGAGATCTCTCCAGCAGTCTCAGTTCCAGAGGAACTTTGCCGTCTTCTTTCCTATTTACTTTGAAGAATTTGATTATCTACCGTAGCTGATGCCATAAGTAGTTCAAACTTCTAATAAGGAAAATAGACTCATACTGGGTTTTTAAAGTCTGAAATCTGATTGTTTATCTGGGCTCATTCCACGTTCCATTCTGTCTTTGTGTGCATATGCTTGAACTATCCCATAATTAAATGTCCTTTATGCCATTTATATATAAAACATATATAAGACTTTTATCTATACGTCTATCTCCAATCAAAAATGCATGCTGTGCAGGCCGCCCTTAGCACCACCCCTCCTTGGGCCTCTTAGGAGCTGAGCCATGAGGGTGCCTGCAGCACCCGCACCCCCACCCCACCTCTGGTCTACAGGCTGTGCTGGTACCTGGATCCACACTGCAGAGGCACAGCGGACCATAAAGGCACACAAGACCACTACAGTTGATACTACTGACCACTACAGTCAGTCATCCTTCCTAGTATACTGAAAACAAGATTGCCTAAGAGCCATTAGAGTCAAAACCTAAAGATCAGCTATATCTGGAAGACACCGCTGAGAAATAGTCATTCCATAAGGGTTATTAATACAAGCAACAAAGATACTTACAATAAGCAATATTGAAATATCAGCCCCAGAATTAAACCAAAAACAACACCAACAACAAAAATACAAATGAGAAGACACCTAAGCAAGGTGCAAACCCAGACTTCCAGCTCACCAAAGGCAAGTTCTATAAGAAATGAGGTGGAAAAATTGGATAATCAACCAGCTGGACACCCTGAACTGATATCACAGGAAGTAACAGAACACCTGGATGAGGCTCTAGAAAAATTCAAAACAGAAATAACTTCCAGGATAACTACAGAGATGGTGAGCAGAATGAAAGACATGATTAGAGGCTCTAGAACAGAAACAGATAGAAAAATAGATGAGCTCAGGATCATGATGGAAGCTATGAATGCCCAGCATAAAAAAGAAATGGAGTCCATGAAACAGATGCAAACATATCCAGGAGATTAAAAACTCTACTGAAAGTGTTTGCAGCATAATGAGCCGATATGAAGACAATATCAGATACAGAAGATAGGATTGCGGTTAGTGACCATGAAAAGAGAGACCTCTTAAAAACGTAAGGTGTCATGAGAAACATAGGGTGCCATCAGCTCCTAGGTGATGCAAAGAAGAATAACATAAAATTGATAGGATTCCAGGAGAAAGTACAAGTGACATTAAAAAACTGTTTACAGAATTGATAGAAAACTTCCAGACAGAGAAAAAGAATTTGACACACAGATAAGTGAGGCACAGAGGACTCCAACTAGCCATGATAAAAAAAAAAAAAAAAAAAAAAAAAAAAAATCTACATCTAGGCATATAATAGTCAAGGTCCCAGAAACCCAACAGAGGAACAAAACGCTACAAGCAGTCAGAGAAAAGAAACAACCCACATACAAAGGAAAGCCCATCAGAATCACAGCAGACTCTTCAACACAAACCCTCAAGTCAAGGAAATCCTGGAGTGAGGTATTTCAAGCCCTAAGACAAAACGGCCTCCAACCTAGACTGATGTATCCTGCAAAACTATCTTCCAGAATTGACGAGGAAATAAGATACTTCTTGACAAAGAACACCTGAGAAACTTTATGAATACCAAACCAGCACTCCAAGCAATTCTAAACAATATTTTAGAAAAAGACAATAAAGGTCACAATTGCATGAGGCCCAACAGAGCACATCCATCAGGCAAGGCAAGAAATTAAAAGGAGAGGGGGGAAAATAAAAAATAAAAGCCAAAACAGGAAAATACCATGACAAGGATAAGTCAATATATATGTTATAACAATCAGTGTTAATGGCCTCAATTCAGCATTCAAAAGAAATAGGCTGGCAGAATGGATTAAAAGCAAAATCCAACAATATGCTGTATACAAGAAATGAACCTAGTTCAAAAAGAAACTCAGACTGAAAGAAAAAGGATGGAAAACAGTTCTCCATGCCACAGGAACCCAGAAAAAAGTAGGGGTAGCTATCTTATTTTCAGATAAAGTAGATTTCAAGCCAAAACTAATTAAGAAAGAGAAAGAAGGTCACTACATCCTTGTAAAGGGAACAATCCAAGAGGAAGAGATGACAATCATAAATATATATGCACCAAATACTAATGCCCCCAACTATACAAAACAAATATTAAGGGACATTAAAAACCAAATAAGCACTAATACAATTGTAGCAGGGGACCTCAATACCCCACTGTCACAAATAGACAGGTCGTCGAGACAAAAAAAATCAACAACGAAACACTAGAACTGAACCAAGCCTTTGAACAAATGAACTTAATAGATGCTTACAGAGTGTTCTACCCCACAAAATCAGAATATACATTCTTTTCGGCTGCACACGGGTCATTCTCCAAAACAGACCACATATTAGCTCACAGAACATGTTAAGTGCAAAGGAACTGAGTTTATCCCATGTATATTATCATACCATAGTGCAATTAAACTGGAGATCAATAGCATAATAAACCGCAAGAACTTCACAAACACATGGAAATTGAACAACATTCTCTTGAACAACCAGTGGGTCACAGAGGAAATTAAAAAAGAAATTAGACAGTTTCTACAATTAAATGATAATGCTAATATAACATATAGGAATCTGTGGGACACAATGAAAGGAGTTCTATGAGGGAAATTCATAGCAGGGAATGCCCACTCTAGGAAAACAGAGTGAGCTCAGACAACCTAATACTGAGGTGCAAGCTCCTAGAAGAAGAGCAAGACAAACCCAAAACTCGTACAAGGCAGGAAATTATAAAGCTCAGAGCAGAAATCAATATAATGGAGACTAAGAACAATACACAAAATCAGTGCATTGAGTTGGTTTTTCAAAAGAATAAATAAAATTGATAAACCCTTAGCCAGCCTTACCAAAAAAAGGAAAGAAGAGGCTAAAATCCATGCAACTAGGAATGAAAAAGGGGAAGTCACAACAGATCCAGCAGAAATCCAGAGGATCATCAATACCTACTTTGAGAACTTGTACTCTAAAAATATTCTTCTTGACAAGTGTGGTGACAACTGCCTGTAATCTCAGCATTTGGAAATGCTCAGGCTAGAAAATTACATGTTCAAGCCCAGGTTGGGCAATTTAGAGACATAACAAGAATTCGTCTCAAAATTTAAAAAAAAAATTTTTTTTAAATACTAGGGATGAGTCTCGCTGCAAAGACCTTGGCTTCCATCCCCTGTACCTGCAAAACAATGGATGTATGGATGGATGGATGGATAGATATCCTTTGCTTAACCATCTTCTAGTGACTAGGCCATTGATTGAATTGTCATCAAGTGAGGACAACACAGTAATGATCAGAGGAAACTCCACATCAGTGACTTTGCCTTTATTTACCTAACTCTTACATGCAGTGCTGTAACCTACAGCAGTACACAAAATTAGAGTACTGGACGCTGGTATTATAGTGCTATGGTCGGCAAAAATTACAGTACTGTAAAAAAGACACTGAGGCTTCATAAAATGTACAGAACTGTACCCAAAAAAGACAGGTCATAAGTCTGAGCAGTGGGTCCTCAGTTTGAACAGCTCACTACAGTTGTAAATCTGAATAGTCTTAAAACAATAGATCATTAAACAAGGAATACCTATGTAAAACATGCATGCTGCTTTTTAAAGACCCCTCCTACAGTAAATTTAGAGAAAGGTCTGTGAGTGTGTGCATAGTACAGCATTAAGTGGAAACTCTAAGCCAGAAAAAGACACATGGTAAATGCATGTGCTTGTGCATACACACCAGTACGCTCAAATCTCAGCAGTTGGGAATCATGACTTCATGGTTATCTTTATTTTCTAAATGTTATGCAGTGGAAGTGTCACCTTGGTAATCAGAAAGTATTTTAGAATGAGGGGCCCTGTTTGTGTGATGGTGGGAGTCTCCTGATTTGTAATTGATGTATGTCTAGGGGCGATCACCATGGCTTTGCTAGAAAACCTGGTGGTGGGAGATGTGTACATCGTCAAGGTCTCTGCGTCCAACGAGGTGGGAGAAGGGCCCTTTTCCGACTCTGTGGAGCTGGCGGTGCTTCCAAAGGACCCTTCTGGGTCGAATCAGAGGCCCAAGCGTTTGGATTCTGCTGATGCCAGAGGTATGTAAACCACCACTCACTGATTTTTCTGAAGGAAAAAAATTATCAGGATCACTGCTTTATTTCAGCTGCTGCAGCTGTGAGGGCCTGCAGTACACACATGTGCACTTGTGTGTCAGGTGCTGTGGGATTCTAACGCTCTTCCTGTAACCCCAGAAGGAAGCAGACCCACCTCAGGGTTCATGACAGTTTTCAGACTGCTGCGCCCCCATGGCTTCTTTTCTGAGGTGAGCAGCCTGCAGGACAGAAGGGCTGCACTGACGTACACACACGCACACATACACACACGTACACACGCACGCACAGGTGCACACACGCATGTGAACTGCTTCCACGCTTCTTGGAAGCTGCAGGGAAAGAGCAGCACAGGGGCTGTAGTGTTATGAGTTATGAGAAGCAGCTTCTCTCCAGAAAAGCAAGCATAAAACACATCCTGAAAAGCTACCTCCTTTCAGCTGGCGAGTTGTGTTCTGTCTTGAAGGACTGGGCTCTGAGCTTGGGGACCAGCTACCTCCTGTTCAAGGTGTGTGTGTGTGTGTGTGTGTGTGTGTGTGTGTGTGTGTACACGTGTGTGAGCACAGTAGCCACCACATCATCAGGGAAGAGGAGCACATCACAGTTGCTTCTCAGGACAGCTATAGAAAGGGTCAAGGAGCAGCGTGGTGGATGGCACAGGCACAGAGCCCAGCCCAGGCCTATTGACTCAGAGAACCCGCGTTTTCACAGACCTGTCTGCTCCTGACTCTGACACACGTTACTATTTAGAACTAACATTCAACACGCAGATCCACTTTTAAGGCAGCATGACAGGAAAGCTGTCGTATGATACATCAGAGAGCACCAGCTAGTCGGTAGACAGGATACACACCTGTAATCCCGGCTGTTCAGGAGGCTGAGGCAGGAGGATCCTGAGTTAGAAGCCAGCTTGTGTAGCTTAGTGAGAACCTGTCTCAAATTTTTTTTTTAAAGTTTTAAGTAAAGGGCTGCAGATGTATCTCAGTGGTAGTGTTTGCCTAGCATGCAGCCTTAAGTTCAGTCTCCCAAACCTTGCACGCTCAAAAAAAGGTATATCTTGTGCCATGAGTAGTGTATTATGAGTGTTCCTCTTTGGTGTAATATGAACTACACCTTGAATACTGGGAGATAAAAGATCTCTGAAATCAATGCAGTAAGATTAATTCATGGCGATTGTATAGATATAGATAAATCAAAATTCTTCCTATGAGATGAATAGAAGTTACAGGAAAGCGAATACCGCAGAATTCTGACCAGGAGACTTCCTGTGCCCCTGCAGTGCCCTCGGGATATTACCGTCTGGACCAGAAGTCGATGACGGGCATCACGGTGGGTGTGGGCATCGCCTTGACCTGCATCCTGGTCTGTGTGCTCATCCTGATTTGCCGGAGCAAGGTCAGGTGCGTTCCCTGCCGAGTTACGGCGACCACGCCGGTGTGTTTGAGTGGCGGGACCTCTCCACTCTGAGTGCACTCTGCTGAACTGTTACGGCTGTGAGAGTGTGCTTGTTTCATAAGGAGCTTATTTTATTGCCGTTCAAAAAAGTTATAGTGCCTATTAAATAATCCAAAATTAGGACCAGTTTCCTTAGTATTTTGAGAAATACAAAGTACATGCTTCATTTCCGTTGTTAGCAGCGCCTTTCCCAGAGCATTTCACGTGTAACGCAGCAGTGCCAGAGAGCCAGGGTCACTGGGGCAGACCCACAGCCTGCCTCTCAACTCGCCCAGCAACCAGGAACCACTCGGCTGTAAGCCCTGCCACGCTCACCTGCAGCTGACTTTGGCTTAATTGTCACCAATAACTTGTTTTCGTTGAGCTTGACTATCGTTAGCCTTTTATATTTTGGCTTTTGCTTTCATTATTTTCTTAAGGTTTTTAAAAAATTAAATAACTTTTTAGGTGACCCCTATCAGTCATTTCCCTCAGTTGGCATAGACTCTTCAGTGTTCTGGACACTGTGCATAGACACACCTTTGGAGAAGCTGTTGGTTAAAGAGTTAGTTCTGCTGGATGACGCCTGCCTATACAGGAGGCTGAGGCAGGAGGGCTGAACTACATAGCAAGACCCTATCACAAATAATAATAATAATAATATTAGTTCTAAGATCTTTGTGCATTTTGAATGGCTTCTTTATATTGCCTGTTTCCTACTTGGAGAGTTTTTAAAAATAAAATCTTTATACAGATTGTTTTAGTGATGCCTAAATTGCAGTACTGCTGTAAACTAACCATCCTTAATTGGCAAGTGAATTGCTAGGTTAGTGTAACAATCTGCAGGTCTGCAGAGAAATAATATAAATTTTTGTAAAGTATGGTTTTGTACATCTACGAATAAGCTGCGACAGAAGATCACAGTACTTGTAAATATTAAGGTTCTTAACGCCTGCATCGCCTGTGAAATGAAGATTGTCTTTTCCTCCAACCTCGCAGGAAATCATCTGCCTCCAAGACGGCGCAGAACGGAAGTCAGCAGCTGCCCCACGCTGGTGCCTCCACGGCTCCTGTGAATGAGGCGGGGAAGAAGCTGGACAGAGCTGTTGAAAACCGGGAGTCCTCGACGCCAGGGATGGTTCCTCGCAGCTTCATCGATGCCAAGGTACAGGGTGCGAGCCTGACCCACTGCGCAGTCCTTCTCCCGTGTCTCCCCTTTCTGCGGCCAGTTAACTCGCCAGAAGGTGTGTGCTGCTTGCATGATGCACAGCTCCCCTGAGTGAAATACTTGCAGAATATACCCAGATCCTTCCTTACATAAAATGCTCGGGGAAAAGAAGATGGGAGTACATAAAAGACGCAAGAACGGAGAACGGAAGAGATGGCGAAAAGCTTCGGTGCTGTTAGATGGGGTTGTCTGTGAGACATCGCGGTGTCAGTGTGCACTAAAGCTAACTTGATGGCCCCATGTCTGCTGGATGGACTCGCAGACCTCCTGGGTGTGAGCCCGTGGAAGACTGGACCACCTGGCCAGGTGCCTGGAGACCCTTCCGGTATGGCCCAAGGAAGCTGGAATAGTAAAGAAAGTCACGGGGCGTCACTCCAGCTTCGGCCAGTGCGTGCAGGGGCAGCACAGTAGCAGTGTGGAGGACATGACCCTAAAACCATCTCCCACCACGTGGCAACATTGGCCACCACACAGCGTCTCCATGTCTTCCAGAGCCTGTGTGCCGTCCGTCAGTTGTGGGCCAGCACCGCTGCTGTGTGGCCCTGCCTGAGCTGAGAAGGCTTTCTGATATTTTTAAGACTTTGGGGAGGAGGGGTACAGCACTGACCACCTGTGGCCTGCAGAGCCTAAAATATTTACAGGCTGGCCGTTTACAGAAAGTTTTGCCAGACCCTGCTATAAATAAATTCTTCTTCTCCAAGTGAGAGATGGGGAAAAGGAACGAAGGGAAAGGAATAAATATGAGAAAAGGAAAAAATGGAAACAAAGTCTTTGTGAGTAGGGAGGAGTGGAGGGGTTGAAGGGAGGCGGGGGAAAGGGGAGAAAAATGAGAACCGAGATGGGTTATGGAAAGATGCAGACTCCCCATGACGAGTGTCAGCATGTCGTATACTTCAAATGTACTCATCAAATTAATGGAAAAAATGAAATAGATTCTTCTCCAGCCGTTTCTTAAAATTTAGAATAATGGGACTATTTAAAATTTTATTCAATTTTTTATTGAACTTTATACAATTATATTTAACAGATGCGTTCTACTTGTATCTAGCATGGTGCTGTGTACATTGGGAATAAATAAAGTTTTGTTTTGTTTTATTTTTCCGTACCAGAGATCGAACTCAGGACCTTGCACTTGCCAGGCAGGTACAGCACCACTGAGCTACGTCCCAAGTCCCAGAATAAATAATGTTGATTTATGCTGCCAATACTATCTTTCTTGCCCCTTAATACCTTCTAATATGAATTGCACCTTTCTGCTTATTTCACATGAATCTAAAGCTTTCGAATTAAGTATAAGTTGCATTATGATCTCCATGGTTGTGTTATTCGAGTTGGGAAGCAGATATGAGGAAGGATGGGAAGAGCAGAGGGGCAGGAAGAGCAGGGAGAAAGGGGACGGGTGTCAGTGTGGAGACCAGAGCGGCGGGGTCCGAAGAAAAGTGCACTGGAAACTCGGCAGCGCCGCGGTTATCCGAAGAGCTCACTCCTCGGCACTGACTCCTTGGCTGAGTGTGTGAGCGCCTGGCACATTTTTCTCTCCCCAATTGCTTTTTTAAATTTTCCGTCATATAAAAAGTTGAAAGAATACTGCAAACAACGCACAAAAATGTTGAATATCTTCTCATAATTTCTTATCTATATATACTTTTTGCTTGCTGTATCATTTGAAGATTCGTTTTGAAATCATTACTTTACCCCAAATGCTTCAGCATGAATATGTTTTCTGTGTAAATCTGTTCAGAATATAATTTTACATAATAATGTATATTAAGAATAAACCTGCTCTATCATTGCGATCACTAACAAATACCCTGAAATGCTCTGTGTTACGTGTGTAAAGGAAGCAGTGGGCACTGGGCGTAGCGGCACACACTTGTTATTCCAGCTTCTCGGGAAGCTGATGAAGGACGATCACAAGCTTGAAACCTGCCTGGGCGATTCAGTAAATTAAAATCGAAAAAGGGCCAGGCGTGGTGGCGCACGTCTGTAATCCCAGCACTTGGGAGGCTGAGACAGGAGGATCACTGGGAGTTTGAGGCCACCCTGGGCTACCTAGTGAGACCCTGTCTCAAACAGTTTTGAAAGACTGAGAGAAAGGGTGGGGCTGGATATGTACCTCAGTGATAAATGTGCTTACCTAGTATGTACAAGGCTCTGGTTCAATCCCAGGTTAAAACACATACACACACACACACACACACACACACACACACACACACAAAGAGAAAGAAATAATAGTGATGTCTGTGATCATTTTTTCTTTTCACAGTTGCAAATTCTGTGTACTACTTGTGATAAACCAAAATCTCTGATACCATATTTATTTTTCCCTTTATTTCCCCAGGGAGGATCTGACCTGATCATTAATAGCTATGGTCCTGTAATTAAAAACAACTCTAAGAAGAAATGGTTATTTTTCCAAGACTCTAAGAGAACGAGAGCTGAGCAGGTAACTCCCCATGGGAGCGAGCCATGGTGTGGGCCATGGTCCTTAGAGGCGGGTGTGCCTTAGGTGTCACGCAGACGGAGGGTCCACCCTCTGGGCTGACTCTGGAGGACCCCCTGCTGTGGTGCAAAGGAAATTGCAGAAGGGCCGGAGCCAATGTTGGCAGGAGGGGACAGGCAGTGGGAGCAGACAAGGACCAGTGTCCTGGGTGACTTGCATCTCACTGCTGCCTTCTCTGTTCTTGCCTAGCCTCAGAGAAGGTTTCCTCCAGCCTCGTGCTTCTACCAGCCAGGCACCGCGGTGCTGGTCGGCAGCCAGGACTCACCCGGCTCCCCGGGCCCAGCCACCAGCTTCCCCAGGCCCCTGGGTGCAGCTGTGGACGCGGAGCCCTCGACACAGAGCGAGGGCAGCCAGGACACGGGCGACTCGGGGCGGTTCTCCCACGAGTCCAGCGCTGAGCTGCGCCTGTCGGCCTCCCTGAGCGGCTCACCCCCCAGCTCAGGCTCCCTGGTGGGCAGGGAGGCAGCGGGCGAGCGCGCTCTGGGTCAAGGCAAGGGCCCTGTGGTCCAGGCCAGGCCATGACCACAGCGCAGCCTGCACGGACAGTGAGCAGCCCCCAAGCCTTCCATGAAAATCCTGGTGTCCTATCGGGTGCCTCAACCGTTTTTGAATGTGTTTTTTTTTTTTTTTCCTTAAACTCACTGTTTTGAATGTTTCATTGTCAGCAATGTGAAGGGACAGTCAAGATATTTGACTGTGTTACAAAATGCATCACTGGAGCAGAGGGAGACTCTGGAAAGGCCCTTTGCTGAATATCTACCTCAGTCTGCCAGGCGGCAAACTCTGAAGAGAGCTTCCTTACCTCCTGTAGCGTAGTGTGTCTCGGCGACACAGCCAGTGATACTTCCTGTAGCGTTTGTTTTCATTGCTGCGTGGTGTGGTGTGTGTGAGCGAGGGAGTCCCATAGGGAGATGAGCGAGAACGTTTACCTGAAGCTCTGTTTCTTTGTAAACTGATGCCACCGTCATTTGGATAATTTAACACCTCTGGCTGTGAGGACCATCAAGGAACGCGGGACTGTTGATTTTAGTGAGCAACCGGGACGAGTGTATCTCTCCGGAGAGCGGAGACACGTAGTGGTGCTGCACAGTTAAGGCTTGAGGCTTGGCCGGTACCTTCCGCCTCCACCGACCTGGTCCTCAGCTCCTCCACTGTTGGTTGCCAAACCCATACAGAGAATGTTTTTTTAAAGAAAATGGTTAGGATTTCCTGTTTTCTTTATCCCGGTTTGGCTGAGAGGGGTGAAGAAATTTAATGCAATAATATTAAGAATGAAGATAAATGCAATAGTAGACAGTAAAATGGACTTGAGGTTATCGTGGTTAACAGTGCCTTCCAGTATGTATTATGAAACTTTTGCCTTAGACCTGTTTAATGTTCCTGGAGTAGTTTGGAACGGGATTATAAAAAGCTGCCTTAAGAGTTATCAGTAACTATTTTTAAGTATCTTATCTTACCAAGGCTTTTCTTTTTAAATGCAGGTTTTGTTGAGGGGCATTCAGAACTGTTCCACCCGCTTGTTAAATTTTCTTAAATTCTTGAAAGCGTTTGGTCCTCTATGTGATCAGTGCTGTGAAGAAAGAGCGCTGGCTCCAGCAGTGAGTTTACCCTCTTGCTCTTTTCAGGTCAGCAAATTATTCTCAGAGCCACACAGTGTGGGCCTCTCTCAGTCATGAGACAGTTCCCGGGGTGTGGAGCCCTGGGCGGGGATGGGGAATTGAACACATGACACAGGAGGCCCAGCCTCCAAAAAGTACTCTTTCAGATTTTCCAGAAACGACTTTGGAGCCTCAAACCCTTCATGGTTTCCCTTTGAGATCTTCTGTTTATGGATGGGGCAGGGCCACGTCAGTGGTGTTCTAAAATCAAAGAATTTCGCTGGATGATAGTCCCGTGTCACCTGCGAACCTGATGACTGGTGATGTAGCATTGAAAATGTTTCACAGCTGTAGTTCTGTGGGAAGCTGGGTGTGTGGAGAAGCACAGCAGCACGCGGTGCGGCCCGGTGAGAGGCGTCCACCCCATGCCGTCCCCGCAGCAGAGCGGCTTCGTGGCAAAGTGGAAAAGCAGAGCTTCAGGCCACAGTCTGGACACATGAGCGTGCTCCTCACGTGGTGGCTCCTGTTTATACTACCTCCTTTAACCTTGTGCTAGTGTTATTTTTCCTGTACTCAGGGAGCGTTTTGTTACTTTTGAGCTGCCTCGTGGAAGCGAGGGCAGATTGACAGGGTATGGCGTATGGGGTTCGAAAGTAGAAATATGTGGGTTCAGCTTTATCAGTATCCAGAATTGGGCAGTACAAAGAGATCGTTTGATCTTTTAAACTAAAAAGACAAACAGCACCGAGAGGGGGCATCCATCACAGTGACGGAAGAGGTGTCGTGGTGGATGGGTTCACAGCGTCCTCTGTGTGGGAGACATCTGGAGAGGGAAACTGTCTGGGTACTGATGAGGAGGCCCTTACCTATGATAGATCGCTAGGCTGTAACTTTGCTAACCATTTACCAGTACAGTTCTACCTTTTCATTTTGTTCTTACACAGACTTTTTCATAATAATCCTGTTACCAAAGAATTTTCAGTAGAAAGTGAAATTTTTATCATAATTCCCCAAATTGAATTAAGTAGAAACAGCTATAGATATGAAGTGTATGCAAGTGGTTACTAACCCAAAATAATAGGGTATATATTGGTTGTAGTGAAGTAGGCTAGTAATGTTGACTACCTTTTCAGTACCAGAGCATTTAAAATGAACTGTAATACTTTCTTTACCAGCACATAGTTCTAAAGAATTTCAAGTATATTTTTTTCTTCAGCAAGTAAATCTTCAATGATACAGTATTAAAGTATTTTTAAATTGTTGAAACTACTTGTTGGAGAGAAAAAAAATCCTTTTACCAAAACTGTTTTGGTCTCACTGAATAATGTACAGCAAAGATTTTTTTTTTTTTAACTTGGACACAGCAAGCTTCTTTGAAGTCTGAAGCATGAAACTGTGACCAAAATGTGAAGTCCATCACTTCTCAGTGCGACTTCACAGCATTTCAACTCCATAGGGGCATATATGCAAGCGGTAACTGTTGTTCTTTCCAAAGATTTATGCGCTGTAAGTACTGATACATGCATGTCATTTTTATGCCAAATGTTTCAAGATACTGCTCATCAGTATTTTCATACCAAAGACCATTAAAATATATAGTTTAGCCTATAATAAGTAAAGATGAGCAGATTTGAAATAAATTTATTTAGAGTGGATAGGGAATCTAGCTTTAGTAGTAAAAGATATCGAAGGGCTGAGTTTACATAATTAAAAGCAATACAGTTATATTGGTATTTATCAGTGTTTTTATTCAAGTACTTTGTATCAGCAAATTAAAAAGAAAACCAAAGATATTTAAGGTTACCCCGCATATAGACAAGTTTAGTTGTACACTAAGTTGTTGCTTCTTGTCTCTGTGTTAACTGAACATGTCTCTGCAGAGCCCAGCCTGTGGACAAACAGCACACGCGGGACTTTGCATCCCACCTGCTGCTTCCGCCCAGGACGTTTGTGCCCAGGGCTGTGATGCTTCACTAAGCACCCTCAGTGTGAGAGAAGCCAACAGAAATAGCAACAGGCTTTTCCAGTGCGGAGTCTTGGGGTGACCCTGAGTTACCTGAACAGCCCTCTTCCTGGGTAACTCAGGGGGCTCATGGCCCCCCTCTGTCACAGGACTTGACAGACGGGAACCAGTCACTGCTGCAGTGGGCTGTGCTCCGGTAGCTATGCTCTCCAGCACTGCTGGAGTGAAATCCGGGTATGGAATTGAAATGTTTTCACTGTGTTAGAGGAGCCTGGTTTTAAAAACCTTGAGTGAAGGGAAAAATAAGTTTTCTGAAATCTGAAATTATGTGAGGATTAACCTAAAAGTAAAGGCACAAACTTAGCCACTAAGCGACCTTTAAAATTCAGCTCCTCAGTGAGTGCTGTGCCCCGGCTTTGCAGACACACACGGTGCTTGCCGGGGAACAGTGGCAGTGGTTTGCACCGCACATCTTGGCTTGGTCGAGGATTTCTGCCAGAAGCGTGCTCGCTCGAGGCTGACAGCTCTGGGTTATTGTTCAGATCCACAGAAGATGCCTTTGAAAACAATTCAGAATGTGTCACAGAAAGACGGAATTAAAAGTCTCACTTTTAAGTGTAAGGACACCGCTGCAGCCCCACTTCAGCAGCGGCTCTTGTGATTCACGTTTATACGTAGCAACTTCTATTTCATTGAATGTAAAGTTTGAATACTGATTGTAAAAAAATTCCAACTGCATTGAAAGTCATGATAATTCCAAGACTAAAACATAGTATTTTGCAGACTTTGTTCCTCAGAATTTTCTTCATGAGTCTCTGATAAAATTGCCTCGCTTTAATCATCAAAATACTTTGCAGTCTGTGAGCACAGAGCAGCGGGCTCTGGAGACCACCATACAAACCAGTTATCAAATGGAGAATTTTCCTGATAATTAGGAGAGCATAGCCATAGAGTTCTGTGTTAAGCTGACTTTACGACCAGGACATAAGATCACTGGCTAATGCACTGTGTGTGTGTGTACAGGCTTTCAGCTTCTTGTTTTCTCCTTTTAAATGCTACAAAGTATTTAAGATGGCAGTCTTTCATTTTTACCAAAAAACTATTATTTTTCTGTTGCTCCTGAGGCAAACTACCATGAGTTTGGTGGCCTCAAACAACACAGCTTTATTATCTTGAACTCTCAAGTCAGAAGTCTGACACGGGCCTCCCTGGGAGGGACTCAAGTGTTGGTGGGGCCTTGCTTCCCTTCTTTTCCAGCTCTCAAAAGCTGTGAGCCCCTCTCTTCAAATGCAGCATCTTGGTGTCTCTCTGACCCCAGCAGAGAAAGGCTCTCCATGTGAAGGACTCGGATAACCAGATTATCACTTGGAACCAGGACCCACTTGGAAACCCAGGGTGCCCTCCCACCTGTAGCCCCTAGGTTTCCTCACGTCTGCAGCTTCTAGGAGTTCAGCCGGATGTCTGTGGGCAGTCGTTACTTTGTCTGTCCACGGATGCACTGTTTCTCTGGAATTCTGGTGGCTGCAACATGTCTGTTTCATTGAAAAGTTGAAAATTTGAGGTCATTTGCTCTTGAAAAATCTTTTAAATTTCAAAGATGTGAAAAGCTTTGATCCGTAGCTTACCAAAGGCATGCACAGCTGGGAGTGGTAGTGATGCCTGTGATTCCCAACTACTCAGGCACTGAGGCAGGAGGATCCCGTTTAAGCCAAGCCTGGGCAACTTAGAGAGGCCCTGTTTGAAAATAAAATTTTAGGACGTCGAGGCGTAGCTCAGTGATCCCTTGATCCAAGCCCCTGTTGGTGATGATGCGGCTTGAGGGAGTTACATTACACTTTCTCTATGAAACACTTGGAGAGAGTTTAGCTCTGAATTTTTTCATTGTGTGCTTCATTAACATAACAGGTCTGTGGTTTAACAGAAATTTTCCCACATACTTGCCTCTAACTGTATGGAATTTCATAAAAACTCAGCACTTGACAGGATCATGCGTTTCATTTTTGGTTTTCTCCTAAAAACACTTTTGCCGGCTGCCATCTACAGCTGCTCCAGTGGCTTTGGTTTCGGCATTCCCTGCGTCTTCTGACCTCATGCACATTGCTGTATGTCCCAAGGTAGATTCTCTTGTCGTTCTGTATTGACTTCCGTTGTCCTTTTCCTAGAAAGCTTTAGATCCTAAAGCCCTCATTTGCAGTAATTTCTAGGACATTTCACGTCTAGACTGCATCAGTTTTGAAGGCTGGTTCCCGATTCTGTCCTATTTCCAGCATTTCTTCCTCTAAGAACGGAAAGCTGTCTCCATTGTGCGGTGAGCACGAGGAGAAATAAGCCGGCCCTTTCCCAGCCTCTCCTTCCCCTCTGGCCTCTCACTGAGCAGTCTGCACTGTGTCAGGCATGGACTCTGTCCCTGCTGCTGCCACCCTCTGTCGCCCCCATTCGGCTGTCAGCACCCTGAGGTTCCTGCTCCCGCCCCATTTCACAGTGGAGCAGCCAAGACCAGAACCCAACTTGGGGCAGCTCCAGCGTGGCAGGGCTTCTAACTGTGGCACTGCCCGGGCTTGTGGTGCCCTCCGAAGTGAGGTCAGATAGAAATTTGTCTTTCGTCTGTGAAGACCAGTGTGTACCAAGCCAACAGCCTGTCAGCGGATCCGTCCTGCACTCGGAACACAAGCAGCCGAGGGGCATAGCTCACCTGGCCAGCTCCTAACCTCTCCTCTTCCAGAACCTTTTGCTTCCCTTAGCTGTAGTCACCCTGAAAGCTGAGGCTTGTGCCTGCAGCTCCCCTCAAAAGATGAGGGCACAAATTCTGGGGTCCTTGCCTTGTCAGACATTTCCCTGTTAGGCTGGGTTTTCAGGATTGGATTTTATCTTTTGAAATTCTCCATAGACCTCATATCTAAATGGAAATTTATTAATGGAAAAAAGCCAGGGGTGTAACTAGTGATAGTTTATTGCTAGATCTATAGAGCCAGTAGTTTTTTTGTTTTGGTTTGGTTTTTTGAGACAGGGTCTTGCTCTGTAATTCAGGCTGGCCTCCACCTGGAGGCAGTCCTCCTGCCTCAGCCTCCCAAATGCTGGGATTACAGGCATTTTCCGCTGCGCCTGGTTACCAATAATTTGTATATTAACTACCCACTGTTATTTTATGTTAACTAATCATACTAATTTAAGAGAAGCATATATAACATGAGGCCTTGGAACTCCTAAACCTGATGTTTGTGTTTTTGTTGTGGGGTGCTGTGCTGGGGATCGAACCCAAGGCCACGCACAGATCAGCAGCTGTAAGCACATCCAACCCTTAAAAGAAGTGTTGGTAGGAAAGTTCCTAACCTATTTTCCCTTCCTTGCCCATGAAATGTGGGTAATTTGGGGGCAGAATGGAGGAATAGTTCTTTGAAAATGTAAAAGAAAATTCACGTGTAAATAATTATAATCCAGAAGTCACTTCTGCAAGGCTGTGAAACTTATTTTACAGAATTTTCCCCTTTATAAGTCAGCATTTCCAGTGACATTTTCTTGAAGAAATGTTTGTAGCTCCTTTACAAGTGAAACAACAAACAGTACAAGAAAGTGGTTAGTAAGGGATATGGCCCGGGTTTAAATGCTCAGCCGCAGCGTGGCTGAGACCACAGGGGAGACAGGAGCTGGTCGTACTTCTCGGAGCAGTGAGTCTGAATCATTGCATTCCACTTTAGGCTTTCACTTTGATATATTGGCTTCTAACGAATTAAACAGTTGAGGGTTCTTTTCTAACAAGTCTACTTTTTCAAGATTGTGAGCAATATGACTTTTTGAAAACTATTCAGGATGAATTGTATGTAGAGCAATGCAGACTGCCACCTACTCCTCATTTAAAAACACCTACATTTAAGGCTCATTGGAGAAATGATGACTGTCATCTTTTTCTTATGAGAAAGGAACTCTTTTCCCTTTTTTGGTGCCATCCAATATCACTCTCACTATAATTCGTAAGATTCAGAAAGCTTTACAAATTTTATTTTTAAAATTTATGCTAAAGAAATTTATTTTTCTGTGGAACCATCTTTAAAAATGTCACAAATATCTTTAAATTTTACCTTAAAGTATAATGCTTTGTGCTACCACATCCTGGATTCTGTTTTGTTTACAAATGAAGATTATGACCGATGTAACACACACATTGCCTTAGCCACCGGTGGGGTAGAGACATGTATTAAGAAAGTTTGTCTGTTTGTTGCTGTTGTTGAATGAAATTTTATGTGTGTAGGACTTTTTTCTACTTTCTTCAAAGATGTGAATTTAATGGAAGTGTGGGAGCCAGTTAAATGATTTTGTGCTGCAGGTGTTCTGGGTCCTGGCACTCTGCACCGTGTTCTTTGAGGGCAGCGTTCGCAGACCTGCGAGTGGACCGCGGAGCTGAGCTGCACTAACTTTGTACTCAGGGGAGCAGCTCCGTGGGCTCCGTCGCGCGAAGAAAGCAAATGTTTGCCTTGATTGTGAATGTACTTTTTAATGTCCTCTGAAAACATAGCTTGCTTAATAATGTGGGTTTGTTTTCTTTTTCTAGCATCAATAATAAATATTTCTTAGTGTTTTCCCCCTCCCTGGGGTAGTTTGTATTCTACCCCATGGGTCATGCCAAAAATGAATAAAGTTAAAATGCCAAAATGTTTATGGAACTGCTGTCTAAATACTAATTGATTGCACAGTTTAAATAAAAGTTTTCCTTGGCAAGAAAAAAAAAGCCCTTGTTTCCTTTGGCTGTTGAGTTGTCTTTTGGGAAACAGAGAATGAAACTTCCTGTTTCTAGAACGGTGGCCTGCGGAGAGCCAAGCCGCCCTGCAGGTTTTCCCAGGCTCTTGCAGCGGGAGGCCGCCCGTGGGCTGTGGGCCTGTCCAGGAAGACAGGTTCTAATTCGAGATTTTTAAATTTTATTGAAAAATGGTTCAAAAAAAAAAAAAGCTAAAAGCCCCCCAACTATACATACTTAGAGATAACTGATAAAATATGCCCCAAACAGGTTTTTCAAAGTATAGTTTGTTTATTTAAAAAGCAGACTCCGGGTTTTGGACTGAAATGTGAACTGAAAGAGTAGTAACTTCTGAACTGATACTCTGCTGACTGGGGGATGTGAAGGAATTGAAACAACCATTAAGCTATGCCCCAAAAGCAAGTAAATTCGGAAATGGATAGAATTTCCAGAAATAAAAAGTAATTGATTATCTCTGAAAATCCGATCTGTTAAACACAGTGAAACAGTATGCTAAAGCAGTAGTTACGGGGAAATTAGCTCAAAGCAACACAGGGGGGTAGAGAGGTGAATGGAAATGTGGCTGTGCATCAGTCCCCTGTTCTAAATGGAAAACTAAAGAGAGTGAAGCAAAATTCAGAAAGAACACGGCTAACTGAACGCCATAAATCCTCAGATTCAGGAAGCACAAACTTAATCTGGAAATACAAAAGTAAGTCCACACCGAGATGTATTACAGCAAAGCTGCAGAACATCACAGACAGAGAACTGAGATACAGCTAGAGAAAAGAACAAAAGATCACATTTGCAATAAAAGAAGCAAGAAGGTTGGTGGGATATCTAAAAAGAAAAGGCAGACGTATTACATGTTCCCCGTGGTTATTGTAATCATTTATGTACTGCAAACATGTACTAATAAGAAAAATTGAAAAAAAAGCTGAAAGATACACAAAATAAATGGATCTCCCAAAATAAAAGTAAAAACAAAAAACTGCACCATGGAATTCTGTACCCTTAATTTAAATGTCAAGGTTAAAGCATTCTAAAAGATTGAAAGAATTTCCCAGTCATAAATCCTTGTTAAATAAAACTGGAAAAAAGAAATGTTCATTAGAAAGAAGGAAAAAGCATCTGAGGAAGATAAGAAGCAAGAGATACAGATAACGGGCCATGAGATGCCACCGCACATCCAGGAGGAAGGCTGTATCAGAAGCAGGCCACGCTGCTGGTGAAAATGCCGAGAAATCTGAGCCCTCACCTCGCTGGGGGATAAAATGATCAGGCTGCTTTATGAGGAGTCAGACTCTCAAAACCGAGTTACCATTTGAACAAGCAACCGCACTCTTAAGTATAGTCCCATGAGATGAAAACATACTCACAAAAATGGATACACATACGTTATAGCCGTATTCATTATTCTCAATTGCCAAAAAGTAGGAACCAAGTGTTCACCACTGGTGAGTGGATAAATGAAGCATAGTGTATTCGTCCACTCAATAGACTATTACCCAGCCATAAAAAGGAACGATCCTCTGATACATGCCCCAACATAGATGAACCTTGGGCTGGTGATGCACAGCTCAGTTGGTACAGCACTTGCCTACATGTACAAGGCACTGGGTCTGCTCCTTGCGCTGCCAAAAATAAATAAATAAAAGATGAGTCACGCAGATCACACACTGCATGACTCTGTTTATAAGACATGCACAGAATAGCAAATCAAGACCAGAGACAAGTGGCTGCACAGGAGAGGAAGGTGGCAAGGGGTGGAAGCCATCACCAGTGGGTGGTGGGTTCCTCTGGAGGAAATGCTCTAAAATTAGTTGTGCTGGTCGCAGTGTAGTGGGAAAATGAATTTTACACTTTAAGTGCATATTCTGTGGGAATTAGATCTTAATAAAACTTTAAAGCCATGATGAACAAAGGAGTAGAGAAATGTAGACAAATCTAAACCACTTGCACATTTATTCTATAAAAACACTACAAATGTTGGCATAAAAACATGGGAAAACTAAAATATTAGATAATGAATACGTTCAGATGGAAAAGAAGCAAAATCAAAGCATGCCACCATTCTCTTAAGTAACTAAACATTTAAAGTGTTAACACAAAGTAGAATGTATAATTCTAAACCTAATTTTAGTATAAAAAGAACACATGACCAGTTTAATAAAAGGGTCAAGGGTTTAGCTCAGTGGTTCCATCACCTGCCTCACAAGTGCAAGGACCCAAGTTCGATCCCTGGTATTTTTTTTTTTTTAAGTTTAATAAAAGGTAGGAAAGAATGAAAAAGCAAAGATGTCCCTAAGGAAAAACAGTTACATGTGAAGTTACCAAAAATAGTAAAATACTGCCACTTTAAGAGATTGGATTAGCCAGGTGTGGTGGCATACACCTGTAATCCCAGCACTCGGGAGGCTGAGGCAGGAGGATCACTGTGAGTTTGAGACCAGCCTGGGCTACATAGTGAGTTCCAGGTCAGTCTCATCTATGTAGTGAGACCCTGTCTCAAAAACAAAACAAAAAAAGATTGGATTAAAAGAAAATTTGGTGTATGCGGTTTACAGCTTAAAATGTGGATACACTTAGAACACAGTGACCCCAGAATTCAGGAGAGTCACCAGGTATAAGATCAACGCACAAATCCCAGCACTGGAGGCTGAGGCAGGAGGATCACTGTGAGTTTGAGACCAGCCTGGGCTACATAGTGAGTTCCAGGTCAGTCTCATCTATGTAGTGAGACCCTGTCTCAAAAACAAAACAAAAAAAGATTGGATTAAAAGAAAATTTGGTGTATGCGGTTTACAGCTTAAAATGTGGATACACTTAGAACACAGTGACCCCAGAATTCAGGAGAGTCACCAGGTATAAGATCAACGCACAAAGCTCAGTTGTACGTCTAGATACTTAGAGTGAACAATCTGAAAAGGAAATTAAAGAAAGCAAGCTCTTTCACAGAATTCTGTAAGAGAAACTGGGTTAAATCACGCACTGACGACTACAAACATTGCTGATTAAAGACCTGAGTAAATGGTAAGATATCCCATGTTCATGGGTAGGAAAACTGCAGCATTGAGATCATTGTCACTCAAAGCAATCTGCAGATGCAATGCAAACTATCGAAATTCTGACAGCCTTTTTTTCAGAAATGGAAAAGTCAACCCTCATGGGCCGGGGATTTAGCTCAGTGTTTCAGGCAGGGCTGCCTCACAATCACAAGGGCCTGATCCCTGGTACCAAAAAAAAAAAGTATGGAATTTCAATTCCTACTTTAGTCAAAACACTTGAAAAAGAATAAAGTTAGTGTGCTTCCAGAGCTATTTCCCCAGTCTTTTTTGATTTTCAAGACAGGGTCGCACTAAGTTGCCCAGGAATGTCTTGAACTTGCCGTCCTCCTGCCTCAGCCTCCCAGAATGCTAGAATAATACAAAAGTGTGCCATCAGCCCTGCGAATAGAAGGTGTTTTTAAAATGTGTATTAACTGTACTGAAACTTGAACAACTATCAATTAATATCCTACAGGCCCTGTTCAGCTACAAAGTAATAAAATGCAAGATGAATGGTGAAAAATGCCATATATTTTGAAATATTTAAATGATTTTATGTGATTCATAAATTAAAAATTAAAATAGAACTGAAAACTAAAATGTATCCAAAGTTACAGGATACATTAAGAGCACCCAGGAATATAACCTTAAATATATATATTAGAAGGAAAGAGAAGTCTCAACGCAGTCACTCCAGAGCACAAGGGAGGGAGGACGCTGGGCCGGGACAGCTGGGCCTCCGCCGGCCCCTCCTCCCCGGCCTCTCAGGGCCGCTGCCCTGGGGGTCTGCGTGCTCCCACGAAAGAAAAATAAAATGAAAGATGGTTTAAAGTAATAAAACTGGGTAGAGAGGATTAACAATGCTAATTTTTTAAAAACCTAGCTATATTAAAACAAGACAGAGTAGACATTTAAATCAGAATAAAGTACTGTAACCCATTTAGGGTCCATAGGTCTGAAATGGTGGATGATTTTTTTCCCCCCAAGGGGATTTTTTTAAAAAGGTATGCCAATTAAGAATATAGCACGCAAACTACGCAAAACTTTACTGGAGAATTATGAAGTGCCATCAAAGGCACTAAAAAGGAAATTAGCTCATGCTTACACCTATCTTCATATTCAGTTCAAAATATATATTTTGAAATTAACACTATAAAACCGGGTGTGGTGGTGCACGCCTGTAATCCCAGCACTCGGGAGGCTGAGGCAGGAGGATGGCTGTGAGTTCGAGACCAGCCTGGGTTACATAGTTCCAGGGCAGTCTCAACTACTTACTGAGACCCTGTCTCAAAAAACCAGAAAAAGAAAAGAAAAGAAATTAACACTGTAATTCGGACCGGTTAACTTTTTGTATTATTCACTGCTCTCTAACTCCCTTTAGTCACTTCACCATTACTTTTCTGCAGCTCCCCAGTCTCTGTTAAGGTGTGAGAGGTGGGTAATTTACATTTCAACAGAAAACTCTTAGTACCAAAGCAGTTTTACAGTGCAAACCACAAGCCACCCGCTGGAGTGCGCCCGGGGAACTCAGTAAGGTCTGGCAGCAGAAAAAGGAATGAGCCGGTGCGCGACGCCCAGCGGGGAGAGGCGGCCGCGGAGTGACAGTCGAGAACGCGTTTGCCGGGTGGACGGTGTCAGCGCGACCTCCACACTGGAACTGCAACCTGTGCTTTCCCGTTTTCTTCCTGAGAGGTCGTGATACAGGTGGGGGTGTTGGCCGGGCGCAGTGGGGCCTCCCGGTAACCCCAGGCTCCGGCGACGCAGGACGACGAAACCCAGACCCGTCGGGCAGCTTGGCGGTTCAGCGAGAGCTGAGGCCGCACAGGACCGGGTGTGGCTGGGGTCCGGCGGAGGAAACCCGGAAAGCAGAGGGCC